TCTCCAGGCCTGTCTACCTTTTTGTCCTGCTCTTTTCCAGCCGCCTGCCTCTTCCCCACGCTGTGAAGCCCCCAGCTGTGCGGCGGCTGGAGACAGGACCGGCTCCAGGAGATGGCCCGCTGGCCGGTGCCCGCCCAGGGCAGGGACCTCCCGGGAGGCTGCTGGCTGTGGACAGCACAATGGCTTTAATGAAGCACCTTCGCAGGTGTGTGCTCACAGTGTGTTTCGGGAGAGTCGGTGGGGAGAGTCACTGGGGGTTTTCTCGGAGGTCCGCGTTGCCCGCCAGGATGGGAACATCAGCTGAATAACACAGGGATCTGTGAGGGAGACAGGGAGCTCACAGTCACTTACCTTCTGTAAAGTAGACCTAAAGATACCTCCCCCCCATGCCCCGCTTTTAGGCTTGCCCAATTGTACAAATTGGATTCTTATAATATTTAAAGATTAATTCATTTTCAGCGCAATACTGTCCGGGATAACCACGCCATTTAGAAGATGTCATTGTGAAGGGAAAGGATGTGTTTGTGAAACTGTGACTAGAGATGATAGGGGAATAGGATGCCCTTCCCATTGCGGGGGCTTTATTTTCCGCTTTTTCCTCTTAGTTTTGACCTTTAACTGCCAGGTGGTTTGGTTCACTTCGTTTCAGGTGACCTTGCTATTTTTTTTCTCTCCATGTATTTCCCTGAAGTTTTACTACTGCTTCTAGTTAGTACTACAGCCATGGTTGCCACCCCTGGCTAAGGCTTTGCTTATTGAGCACTTACCACGTTCCAGGCACAGCTTGGGGCCTCACGTATATGTATTTTAATTTAGTCTCCATCAGCTGCTTATGAAAAAGTGCAGTTACTCTTTCCATTGTCCAAGGCAGCGAAGGGACCGCAAAGCAGACGGGGGTAGGGGCGGTGTCTGGCCCGGGACTGCCTGAGCACAGAGACAGAGCCCGTGCCCCGACTTGTGTGGACTTTCCCATCTGTAAGTGCCCTCGATGCCCCGCCGAGGCCCCGCGATGACCGTAAGAATCCGTTCAATGTGGTAAAGCAGAAAGTTGTAAGTCAGGGTCATGAACAATACAGATTGAACAGGAAAGTAATGTCAGGAGGAAAGAAAATACTTGATTCTTCCAGAATGGTTCACACAGCCGGGCTTCACCTTGACTTCAGAGCGTCTTGAACTTAAGGCAAAAGGAAATTTTTAAAAAAGAAAAGAAAACAGAAGGAAATTGAATTAAATGTGTCCAGGCAAATAAGGCATTTTAATTCCTCTGAAAAAATGAAGATTTTCTAACACTGGTCTGAAAGGTCGCCTACCTGGGCTTTGTCACGAAGCCTGAGACTGGCTCAGGGTCCTCACTGTTCAGGGAGAGAGTGTGGAATGTCACATTTGTATGGAATTTTGAAAACAATTTTCAACATCAATACTTTTCAGTAACACCTTCGGAATTTTGTTTTCCTGGGAATCAGTAAATGGTGTTTCGCATCCCTTGGGTCGGCTTCATTCGCCTGTTGGCATATTTACTTCACAGTTACTCACTGTGCACCTGTTGCACCCCAAGCCCTGCCGAGGCCCCGAGGGAGCCTCAGTGGCGGCCAGTCACTGCCCTGGCGCTCCTGGGGCCTCCGCCTTGTCACTTCCGCTGGGGTTTTTCTGCCATGCCTCTGGTTTGCCTTCCTCTGTTGGCCTAGGAAACCCTGAGACAACACTCAGCACCTCGCTCTGCAACCGTCCGCCCACCTTCTGCCCTGAGGTCTGTCCGATCGATCTTTCTGTGCCTTTCTGGGACCTAAAAGTGGTAACAGCCACCGAACAGTGAATGCCACCTACTGTGTGCTAGTCCCTTTAGGTGCATTATCGGTGATCTTCCCAGAGACTTTAGAGCGTGACACTTAACCATTTGGGGTCACCTGTTCCTTGAGAAGCTAACGAAAGTAATGTATTCTCTGGCTAGAAAAATCATCTCGCACACACTTTGCATCTAATCTCAGAGACTTTGAAGTTGTACAAAAGCACTCATGGATTTCGCCCCTAGGTTCCAGGTGAGGCATACTTGCTTTAAAGAAAAAGATTATTTCCATTTTGCAAATGAGGAAACTGGGTCAGGAGGAGGCTAATTAACTTGTGAGTTTGCACAGAAGGTAGTGGAACCTACTTGACTCCAAACCCTTCGTTTTTCCCATGGTTGAGGCTCAGCAGAGGACCGAGTGAGGGCACCGAAGGCTAAGAAGGGACTTTTCTGTGGTATGTGTCCCACGACATAACAGAACCTCCATCTGATAGCAGAAGAGACAAGGAGAAGATTTTTCACAAGTATTTGGATTTAGCTGCCAAAGTCTTTTGTGTCGCTTGCAACTTTTTCCAATTTAGTCAAGTGATAATTTTTCCCTCACGAAACCAGTTCCAACAATTTTTGCTTCTGATGCCATTTCTGTTTGGCTGCACACATTTTTTAGCCTTGTGTTGAATTATGTTTTCTCTGGATGCCAAGGCAGATGGATGGCACTTTTGTTATGATTCTGCTATAAATAGCATCTGTTAAAAACTGGACATCAATCCGTATCTGGCGAGTCCATGTATCAGTGAAAGAGCCTTTGATCTGAGTTTCTGCCTGTGGGTACGAAGTGTGTTTGATGGTCTGTGACTTGGTGCTCCTTTGGGCAGGGTGGAGGGGGAGCACTGGTTTTATAAACCTTGCTCATTCCTACTTCACCAGGTTCTGAAGGAATCGAGTTCATTAACGTCCTAGACTTCCCTTTATTTAGAAAACCCAAACTGAGGATGATGCAAAGCCAAGGCTGACCCGCAGAACTCACCGCTGTGCCTTGCCCATGCTCAGAACGTTGTTTAGCTTTCAGGATACAGGGAGAATCAGCCCGGGCTTCTCGCCCTCCCAGTAGTGGGTGTGGGTAGCTGTTGTCCATCAAGAACAAAGACCACGGGGAGCTCACCGTGCGCCCAGCCATGCGGTGGGTGCCCAGGTGTAGGGAGAGGAGGGCTGCTGCTTCTCTCCACTGGAGGGGCCACCAGTGAACAGCCCGGAGACAAGTGGGGAAGCAGAGAAACGGAGTGAAATAGAGGCCGAACTAGGGGCACGGAGGGGGAGGTGTTAGTACTTTTAATGGAACTATGGGTGCCTCTGCCCTTTTTTGTCCTTTCCTTCATTAAGTAAAACAATTGGCAAAACAAAACCCTAAGACCAAATTCTTTGGAAACGTGTGGTTGGTTTCGTTTAAGGAGGATAGAAGGACCCCATGAAGGGGCCACGTTCTGAATCTTGAAAGATGAAGTGTGCAGGCGGAAGAAGAGGGAGAAAATCCTAGCAGGAGTGAACCAGAGCGTGGAGGGGAGGGGCCACGTGGCCCGCTGGGAGTGTGTAGAACTGCAGAGGCCGGGCGTCGCCTGGGGCTGTTTCATTAATGCTGTAAATGGCCCTGCGCTCTGGAGAAGTGTTGCCTGCTTGTTTTTTTTTAACTTAAAAAAAATTTAGATTCACAACAAAGTTGCAGAATTAGTACAGAGAGGTCCAGAGTGTCCTCACTTCCCCTCAGTGGTACCATCTTACAGAACAACCGTAGCCCAATTCTCAAAACCTGGATATCGCCATTGTACATACAGCATTAATAGCTAAACAGCTGATTTTATCAGATTTAGCTTTAACATGCACTTTTTTTCTTCGTGCATAGTTCCACGAAATTTTAACACATACAGTTTTGCATTGCATGTTTTTAAGCCAAGAAGTAACATAACTGTATCTGTGTTTTAGAAAGATAAAGCCTGGCAACAGGAGGGTGGATTAGAGGGAGACGTTGGAGACCTGGAAGCAAATGAAGGGGCTGTTTCTTCCTCCAGATGAGTGAGGATGAGCAGGGCAGGGAGGGACATTAGGGACAGAGGGGACAGCCAGTAGTTTTAAGCGATTTTCCAAGTGAGGTTGGCAGTACTTACTGCTTAGAGGGCTGAGGCCAAGGGCAGGGATTTCTGCCCTAACTTACCAGCGTTCAGGAGTGGAAGCAAATTCATTCACTCAGTAAGTTTGAACACCTCTGAACACGGGTCCCTGGCGTAGGATCTGGGGATGCTGGAGACAAGCATCAGTTGAATGCTCATACTCTCAGACACACCATTGCACACAGGCCTAAGGGCTCTCCGGGACAGCGGAGGTTCTTGTGGAAGTGTGTCCTGGGGGCCCACCTCGCGTGGGGGTGTCAGGGAAGCCTCCCTGAAGAGGTGACGTGTGCGCGGAGACCCGTGGCTATGGCTCTCAGCATGAGCATCGCTGAGAGCTTGTTAGCCAGGCGAATGCCCGGGCCCCACCCACACCGGGGCCCGGCAGCTGGTGTCTAACGAGCCCTGTGGGGATCCTGGTGGACACTCAGGGTTGAGAAGCGCTGACCTGGACAAGGAGGGATTCTTAGGCCGAGTGGGGAGGAGCCTGAGTGCCTAGACAGAAGGCTGCGGCGCGTGGGGAGGCCACGTCTGAGGGGCTGCCTCGGGCCAGTGCGGTCCACGCATGGAGAACCCAGGGCAGGGGCCCAGCTAGAGGAGCGGCCAGCCCATCTGTGTGGCTTTCTGGTGCCACTGAGGACTTTGGTCTTTATTCCAAGGGCAATAGGAAGCAATTGGAATTTGTAAAGCAAGGAAGTAACATGAGATCAGCATTTAAAAATGATTACTCTGACGGATGTGAGGAAAATAGAGGAGAGCGCGGGAGGGGTGTGTGTGTGGTGTGGGGGTAGGTTGTGTATGTGGTTCCTGTATGGTTGTGTGTATTCGTCTGTCTGTTTGTGAGGTCGCGATATGGGACGTAAACTCCACCTGGGAAACCTAGGCTTTGTTAGGAGGCTCACGCAGAGGCCCTGCCTGAGGTTTTGACCCAGCTCAGTAGCTGGCAATGTTGCTTCATCGTCTTGCAGACCCAAAGGCTCTGTCCTTGTGGCCTGATAAGCTACATAAGGGAAGCTGCCTGCCGGCCTGTGTTAACCCCAGTGCTCTCTTATTTTCCAGAATACACACATTCAGAATCTTTTATCTTGAAGGAAATGAATCTCAGCCAAACGAATGTTAACAGTGCCAAATCGGGCAGCACCAAGGCCAGGTGAGGCCTCTCTTCCTCGAACCCGGGGCAGCTGACGGTCAGGGGAGCACATTTAGCTCAGGCTGGGTATCTGTGCTTTGTGCTGGGGCTAAGGCCTTGACGGGGAGAGGGAAGCGCTCCACAGGACGAGGACACCACTTAGTGTCGCCTCCGTCTGGTTGTGCGGTCACTCACACAGCCCGCTTGTACTAAATGCCCATCTTTGTGCCAGCGTTGTCCAGGAACTTACGTATTTACCCCGTCGAGAAGCGTCGGCTTACAGGTTTTAAAGCCGATTGTCGTCAGTGGGGCGCGTGGCAGGCCCGCAATGTTAGACGGCGAGGGTGACTGCAGAGAGCTGCCTGGCCGGCCCGCTGCGGGGCGGGCGCCTCGGCTGCACTCACATTCCCTGCTCTAGGGGGCAGCAGCAGCAAATCTTTCCCCTCCCTGCGGAGCGCCGAGCCTTGGCGGAGCCTTGGCCGCCTTCCTTCGCCGCCTGGAGAACTGACGGGCCTGGCGCGCTATAAATAGGATGTGTTAGCCGCTCCCTGTCTGCGCCCGCCCGGGCTGGCAGAACGGAATGGTCTCCAGCCCTTGCATTTCAAGAGGCTGCCAGTCAAGCCGCTTCTGAGATGGGAGCAAGTGTCTGACAGCCGGCAAGCGCGGTCCGTTTCTCTGACACAACTTGCTTTCCCGTTGCCTGTTGCCATATCTGTCATCACATTAGGTGTGGGGTGAGTCTGAAAGCGTTCATTAGAGAGAAGAGTGACTTTCCAAGGCACTTTCTGAAAGGAGAGAGGAAGCACGTTACAAACAGGACCATGAGAGCTTTTTCTTTAGGGTCCTTACTCCGGGCAGCAAGGCACTTGGGCTAAAAAAATGATCACAAAACCACAACACTCAGTTCAATTAAACTCCACGTTCCTTTCTGGATCGTCACCGTCACATGTGGTCCCTGCTCTCAGGACACTAGTGGTCTAACAGGGAAGACAGCCACTGCAGGGTCCTGCGAGGCGTGGGCGTTAATGGCGGAGCCCTCCGGGGGGCCGGTCACGAGCTCTCGGTGCGGGGTAAGAGAGAAAGCGGGAACTTTGCCTTGGGCAGCCGGGAGGAGAGCGACGATCCTGAACGGGATCCAGGAGGGGGGTGGGTGAGGGTAGGGGCGCAGTGCTGTTTGAATGACAGGCTGTGAAAACCCTTCATTCGCTAATTTGACAAACACTTCTGGAGTGCCAGCCATGTGCTGGGTGCTCTCGGGCTGCGGGTACAGGGGCGTAAAGACACTTCCATTTCATGGAGCCCGTAATCAAGTTTCTACTTTCCCAAATAGAACTATCCTTACCAGCTGTGCTGAGTGCGGTGCCGGGGAAGGACAGGCTGTGGCAGACTCCACTGGAGGGCGGAGTCGTGGGGATCAGGGAGACCTCTCAGGAGGTGGCCGCACCCCTGGAACGAAGGACGGGCAGGGAGCCGCAGGGCTGTGGGAACCTGACGAGGGGAGAGGCAGGCCAGCGCCGGGCGCCGCCCGGAGGCGTGTTCTGGCTGACGCGCTCCGATCCCTTTATTAGAAAGCGTTCAAAATAAAAAAGGTCGATGCCCCCGCTATCCCAACACAGCGATTTTTGTCACATCTTCTAGACCCTATCCATTGTGGAAATACATTTTTGTATCATTGCATTCACAGTGTTTCCTGTCCTTTTTCTCTCAACATTGTCCTGAACGTGCTTTTGTGTTTCAACATAGGCTTTATGGTTATCGTTCATGATAGCGAGATGCCATTCCATTAAAGCACATGAACCTGGAGAGGTTTGTGTTGTACTTGGAGTGACTTCTGAGTGTGTCTGTGTGTGTGTGTCCTGTGTGTGCCGATAGGCTTGACGTGGCATTTGAGAGGAAGGTGACAGCCGTGCGGGGCCGGAGGAGACCCTGGGCAGGGAGCCCCTTGATGGGGAGGTGGCGGTCAGACTCGTGGGCCCACCCTGTGTCTAGGCTGCGTCCCACCTGAGGGCAGCCCATAGCTATGCATGCTTCTGCTACACTGGGTTTGGATGACTGGCCGAATTGTTTTCTATGATACCCTCTCATTCGAAATACATTTGTAAATGAACTCGTGTGTTCTTCTAACTCCTCTGTTTAGAACGGGAGACGAGGGCTGCCAGCCAGTTGGAAGACAGTGAGGGAGTAAGAGGCCAGGTGGGGGGAGGCTGGGCCCGAGGAGGCCGGACCGAGCTCCTGGTGTTGGTGCATGGACCTTGGAATCCCAGTATTTGGTTAGATATTTATGTAGATGACTTGCTTTTAATTTTCCACATGTTCTTTTGAGTAGGTTGCAGAGTTAGACTGTTTTGCAAATGCAGGGTATCCATTTTTGAAGAGTGACAGATTTTATTACTCTATCAATATATGCAGACTTGGTTGTTAGTGATGTATTTACATGAGAAGCGACATGAATCGCACGCACCTGTGCCAGTGGATGCACACACCCGTGCACACGCGCTCACGTGCACGCTCCTGGCACGAGTGGGCAAAAAGCCTAGGATTAAATTTAGGAGAGTTTGGGTCTTGGCCTTATGAGTAAATTTACCTTTTCTCTCTGGGCCTTAATTTCTCCGCCTCTAAAAGTATGAATAACAGTATGTAACTCACAAGGTTGTGACAAGGTTGACAATTAACCGGTGGCCAGCAAAGTAGGTGCTCATTGCCTGGTGAATCTAGTAGAATCAACATTAGATGCAACATTTGCTGGTGTTTTAACATCATTCTGATATTAAACAGGGGAGTTTACACATGAGCCTCCTTAAAAAACTGTGGACTCAGTTTTTTAAATCAGCTGCTCATTCTGCTAGCGGCGGCCTCAGCTGTTAGGGCCCTGACGGCTGGCCCGGCCCAGCCCTGAGTCTGAGCGGTCGTGGGGATGCGGCTCACCCCGTGTCAGCCCTCGGGAGGGGGGTGTCACTGAGCTGCCGCAGGCTCCGTCGGCGTGGCCGGAGGTACTGTGCAGCCGGATACCTTCTCCCTGTCTTTTTAAAACACTAGGCATTTTCTTTAGACCCTGAGTCGGATGGGGAGCCACTGCAGGGCCGGGTGGGGCGCGCTCCTCTTCCTGCTCTTTGCCCTGGCCCCCGTGCGGCCTGCAGGGCTCGCTGCAGAGTGAGCCGCCGAGGGCGCGGTTGCTTGGGAAATGCTTACACCAGGGATGTTTGGGTCGAACACCCAAACAGGCTCTGTTTCCAGAGCTACCCAGATCTGGCTCCACGGAATAGTCATACTGTAACTGAAGTCACACTAGCTCTTACGATCCTACAACTGGTAGGAATTAGAACTAGAGGAGACCCAACAGGTCACCCGGACCACCCTCCTGCCGCCAGGGCCTTGTTCCCTGCAGTGCACTCCGTAGCCCTGGGAGGAATTACTTTTCATATGATTATTATTTTTTTCATGCTGCCTTCAACTAAGTGTTTCTTGAATTGAATCACTTCGTATTCAAGTAATAAAATGCACAACAGGCAGTGCGTTTCTGGGTGATTATCTCACTCCTCAGGTGGTGTAATAAGGCATGAGGCCAAAGCCCTGGCACGCCTGGTTGTTATTATGAAGTGAATTTATGGATAAAATAAAGTGGTTATTTGCATCAGCAATAACTGCAATGAAGAGCGCAGTTCCAGCGCATCCTCTCCGCCTGCTTGGAGAGCTGGGCGAGGCAGGCGTGGAGTGTTCTTAACCGTCCATGCAGCAGTAGGCAGCTAGGGACTTTGCCGCCTTCTGGGAGCGGCTCCTTAATTCCGTAAAAAGCGGTAGGAAAGCCTTGGCCGTTGCCAGCCATGCCAGCTGGGTTCCTGGGAGGGGCTCTCTTGGATCAGCTCTGGGGCTGTGTGACCCCGGGCAGGTGGCTTGCCTGCCCTGAGCACCAGTTGGCTCACCTGTGAAATGGGAACAGTGAAAAATGTTTGGGCGTGGGTAAATGACAGGTTTTCACAAATTTTAAGCACCTTTCCTGGCTCAAAGTAAGGCCCCAGTCAGTGCTAATTGAATTAGAATAACTTACATCCCTTCCTAAATTCTCCATAAGCTTGAGTGTCTTGTCGCTTAGCCTCTTCGGTCGTGTCCAGTTAGCTCAGCGCCACCAGTAACTCCCACCGTTCTCGGTGTCCCTTTATGAGTGGGATATGCATGTGTGTCACTTCCCTTGCACACACCCTCGCCTCGCTGTGTCACTGTTGCCTGTCAAAACCCTGTTCCAATTAAACCCAACTCTCCGCTCCCTGGGCAGCTGAGCGTGGCTGGAGAAGACACAGTGCCGCTGGGCCTGCCTTTGAAGTTCATGGCCGTGGACCACAGACGGGCCCCTGAGACTCCCTGACGACCCTTCTCTTCCCACTCTCCTGCTCGCCGCCTCTGCTCGACGGCCGCGTCGCCCTTGACCCTCTGCCCTCATTCTGAGCCGCCTCTCCCATCCTTACCTCTGGTGGCCCAGCTTCCTACTTCAAAGGGAATTGTTTTCTTCATTTTATTTTCAGACTGTTCCTTGCAGGTATATAGAAAAACAATTGATTTTTGTATGTTGATCTTGTAACCTATAACGTTACTGAAGTTGTTCATTCCAATGGGGGTTTTTTTTTTTTTTTTGATGTGCGTGTATTCTTTCAGATTTTCTTCATACAAAATTATGCCATTGGCAAATAGAGATAGTTTTTATTGGTCTCCAGTCTGGTACCTTGGTAAATACTCCTTTTCCTGCCTAATTGCTCTGGCTAGAACCTTGAACACAGTGTTGAATAAAGGTGGTGAGAAAAGATATCCTCCACTTGTTTTGGAGCTTGGAGTGGAAGCTTTTGTTCCTTTACCATTGAGCATGATGTTGGCTGTGGGGTTTTTCTTTATTAATGCCTTTTGTCAGACGATCAAGGGAGTTCCTTTCTCTCCCTACTTTGTCCCTAGTGTGTATGTGTGTTGTGTGTGTGAGTGTGTGTTTTTAATGAAAGAATGTAGGATTTTGTGAAATGCTTTTTCTGCACCTATTGATACAATGTTTTTTTCTTGTTTTAAAAAAAGATTTTATTTATTTTATTGTTAGAGAGGAAGTGGGGTAGAAAGAGGGGGAGAGAAACATCAATGTGTTGTTGCCTCTTGTGCACCCCCTACTGGGGACCTGGCCCGCAACCCAGGCATGTGCCCTGACTGGGAATCGAACCCATGACCCTTTGGTTTGCAGGCTGGCGATCAGTCCACAGAGCCACACCAGCCAGGGCTGCTTTTTTCTTGATTCCATTAATGTTACATTGATTAATTTTTACATATTCAACCATCCATATGTTCCTGGGATAAATCTCACTTGGTCATGCTAATTATTTTTATATATAAAAATCTACATTTTCATATATTTTAATATTTTGATGAGGATTTTTCCTATATTCCTAAGGAATATTGGTCTTTTGCTTTCTTTTGATGTCTTTGTCTGGTTTGGTATCTGGGTAATGCCAACCTCATACAATATGTTGGGAAATGTTCCCTCTTTTATTTTTTGAAAGAGTTTGTGAAGGATTGGTTTTAATTATTCTTCTTTACATGTTTGGTAGAATTTGCCAGTGAACCCATTTAATCCTAGGATTTTTGCAGTATGTTTTTTAATTACTAATTCAATGTCTTTGTTATAGGTCTACCTAGGTTTTTTATTTCTTTAGTCAGTTTTGGTAGTTAGTGCCTTTCTAGGAATTTTTTCATTTTATGTAAGTCATCTAATTTGTTGGTATGTAACTAGTATCCCCTTATAATTCTTTTTGTTTTTGAAAGGTAAGTAGTAATGCCCTCTCTTTTATTCATGATTTTAATAATTTGAATATCCCTCATTTTTTCTTGGTCAGTTTAGCTAAAAAATTGTTAATTTTCTGAGTCTTTTCATACAATTAGCTTTAATTTTTTTGTTTTCTATTCTTTATTTATTTCTGCTATAATCTTTATTAGTTTTTTCTCTACTTGGGTTTAATTTACTCCTATTTTTCTAGCTTTTTAAAGAAGATGGATTACTTATTGAGATTTTTTAATGTAGACATTACCAGCTATGAACTTTTCTCTAAGCACTGCTTTCTTTGCACCCCGTCAGTACTGGTATGTTGTGCCTTCATTGCTAATCTGAAGGTATTTGCTAATTTATCTTGTGGCATTCTTCTCTGACCCATTGCTTACTTAGGAGTGTGTTGTTTAATTTTCACATTGAGTAATTTATGAATTACCCAATTTCTTTCTGTTACTGCTTTCTGATTTTATTCCAGTGTGGTTAGAGAACATATATTGATGATTTCAGTCCTTCTAAATTTGTTGAGCTTTATGTCTTAACATAAGGTCAGTCCTGGAGGGTGTTCCCTGTAGACTTGAGAAGAATGTGTATCCTACTTAGTCAGGTGAGGTGTTCTTTAGATGCCTGTTAGGTCTCACTTGTTTGTAGTGTTGTTCAAGTCTTCTTTTTCCTTTTGCTCTTCTGTCTAGTTGGGCTGTCCATTTTTAAAAGTGGATATTGAGGTCTCCAGCTGCTAGTGTTAAAGTGTCTATTTCTCCTTTCACTGCTCTCAGTTTTTACTTCAAGTATATTGGGGCATCTATGTTTATTTTACTTTTATTTATCCTTTCTAGAATGTTCTTCCTTTAGGTAGATCTGAGTTTCTGACCCATATGACTTTGCTTATTCTTGAAGACTTCATTTTAACAAGATTTCTTGCAAGTAGGTCTGCTGGTGACAAATTCACCTTTTGTTTGTTTGACAAAGTCTTTCTTTCCTTAAATGCCTGGAATCAATTCTGGTCTTTGCTGAGGGGCTCTTTGTGTACATTGGTGCACTCTTTCAGCTCTTAGCCAGGAGGTTTACAGTTCTACCGTAGCCTTCACGTCCTGCCTGTGGCCTTGGCGAGAGCCTCAAGGTGAGCCAGAGGGGAGAGCGCAGGGCCCTCTCAGGTCTCTCCTGAGCAGGCACATGACCCTGGACACACTCACCGCCCTACGCACGGGTGCGCCGTGCTGTTCAGATTCTCCGGAACATGTGGTGGGGGGCACCTCTCAGAGCCCCTGCGGACGTCTCCTTCCCCAGCATTTCCCTTTCAGCTTTTCAGTTAGTCTAGTGTTTGCTCCGTCTGTCATCCAGCCCCTCAGGCAGCTAAGGTTTTAAACAGTTGTCTCTGATCCTTTTCAGCAAATACCTTTTGATATAGCCTGTTCTCCCTGGGTGAACTCTGAATTCTTTAAAATAAAGACAGCCTTGTGAGGGAGGGGGTCGTTCAGGGAGCCATCAAGCAGGTCAGATGGTGGGCATTGGCCAAAGGCAGTCAGCCTCTGCTGCTCCTTCCACTGGCTGTCAGGCTGCCAGGCCTGCATGGCGACCGCAGGCCGTCCATTCCAAGGCTGCTACCGGTGAGGGTGTGGGGGATGGGAATAGAGAAAGTTAAAATGGCACAGACCTTGGTGTTTATACAGAGATTCTGCTGTATTTCGTGACATGTGCTCCCTAGATTGCTGCAAACTTTTGGTCAACTTCCCAAGTTTTGAAACAGGTCGTTGTGACGGTTTTTGCCAGCGTTCTTACTGACTTTACAGAGGAGGGATTTGCGCAGGTCAGCTCTGTGTCTGGGTGTTGGACGTGCAGTGAGGCACTTCCGGAAAGCTCAGAGAGGCTGACTTTCTGCCTCACCTCCCCCCAAGGAAGCGCGTGTGTGCGAGTCAAGATGCAAGTGGGGTTTCCTGTCCAAAGGCTTCCCTAATTTCCCACTTTTGAAGATTGTTGGATCTGCTAAAAACAGGCAGTCCAAAAGCACGATTCTGTGTTCACTCTGAGAATGGCCTCTGAGACGCTGGCAGGAAGGCATTGGCCAGCAGCGTTTCCGCCTGCTCCGGCTGTCCTTTCAGAAGAGAGGGATGGGGTCGGCCACATGTGTAATGTGTGCGTGTAGGTAATGTGACCTGTTCTCTTTTACATCGCAGGGATTTACTGTGCAGAATGGATGTTGTGCCGGATTGGCATACTTCGTGTCCTCACAGGCAGAAATTCACTCATTTAAGACCCCATTCTTCACCGTGTAGAGTCTGTTCAAGAAATGGTTTCCCAAATATGTTCAGACCTTCTTCAAGTGAGTATTCATGAGCAAATAAATCTAACAGTAGATATCACTTACGTATGTGTAGTGTGTACCAGGCTTTGTACGAAGGCTTCACGTCACTTAGTCCTCAAACAGAGCTATGAAGTAGATTCTGTTATTGTCCCTGTTTTCTTTATGGGGAAGCTGAGATGCATGTTGTTTAAGCCGCCTGCCTAAAAGTTACATAGTTTTTAAGTGGCAGGATCTTGATTTTAACCCGCCGTCCCTTCCCAAACACTGTGTGAGCCCCAGTCTGTGACAAGAACTGATGCAGGCCCTGAGGCGGTGGGTCTGGTAGAGGACCTGCCCTGGAGGAGCCCACTCTTCTAGAAAGGGAGACGAAGCATCCAGAAGAGTGAGGCAAATGCCCCAACAGAAGCAGGGATGGAGCATGGCGGGTGCACCGCCACCAGGGGACCGGGGCACGGGGGATAGGGTGAGCGGGAGAAAGGCGGTCAGAAGTCACCCTTGACCCCTGCGTGCAGCTGCAGGCAGTGAGGCTTGACTCACACGGTCACACGCATCCACTCGGTTGCCTGGGAAAGGCGGACTTCGTTCCAGAAGGCCCCGGGGCTGCCCAGGTCTCAGGGTGTCTGTGACCAGGGAGGAAGGGAGAGTAGATAGCGAGGGGTAGCTCGCAGCTCCCAACACAGAAATTTACCGTCAGTAATGAACCGGTTCCGGTCCAGTGGGGTCATGTCTGTAATGTCCTTTAGATGTGTCTTCCTTTAACTTGTGTTTTGATGGTACAAAGGCTAGAATGAAGTGGGGTCACTGGGTTAAAGGGCAGGCACACTCTTCAGGCTCCTGGGAAGCTGTGCGTCCCCACAGGTAGTGGGTGAGCAACCTCACAGAGCAGTGTCCTTGGCCGCTCGTCCCTCGAAGTCCAAAAGCAATATCCTATCGTGATTTTAATTTGCATTTCTTTAATACTAAGGGTTAACTTGGATGTTCAAGTTTATCTGGTGTATCTCGTCTTTTTCTTTTGTAATCTGCCTTTTCATTCCTTTGCTCACTTACCTCCTATACGGGTTGGTCATTTTAATAATTTGTATGAGGTGCCTTTGTATTGAAGATATTAATCCTTTATCTGCCACAGGCACCATTCGGTGGCTTTTTCATTTATCATTTGCCTTTTTTTTGTTGGCATTTTTTAATGTACTGAATTATTTTTTTCTAAAATTAAAAAATTATAGATAGTGTCTCCTAACAGCATTTTCCTCAGCAAAAGTGGTCATGGTTATTTGTTGGGCTGGCCCCGCTCTCCCGTGTGCACGTGTGTATGTAGGTATGCGCTTGTCTAACTCCTGTATTAAATAAGCGGGGGTCAGCAGGCGAACGTGAACCTGTCAGCCACAGATATTAGGCACTCTGTTTCCTTTTTAAATGTTTTTTGCTTTTTATTTGTTTCAATTTGAATAATTTCTGCTGACCTGACATTATATTCGCTAGCCTTTTCTTCTACCATGTGTGCTATTAAGCAAATAAGATGAATTTTTTGCTTCTGATACTGTGTTTTTATTTTCTAGCTTTTTCATGTACTTTTAAAAAAGTTTCCGTTTTTCTGCTGAAATCCCCCATATGTTCAGCATGTTGTCAACTTTTCTTGTAATCCCTAAGGTATTTATCATTCTTAAATACCTGATCATTTCTACATCTGTTCGTTCTGTGGGTCTTCTGATAACTGTTTTCGCTCTTCATTAAGATAAATAAGAAAGGTCACCTTTCTCATTTCACCTGTCCTACAGTTTTAAAAAGATTTAAGAACAGACATTTGTGTACAAAACAGTAGAGACGGAGGCAACTGAATCCGCCGGCAGCGAAGGGAACGCCCCTCCTCTCGCAGGCCTCTAGTGAGGCCGCCTCGGGCTGGCCTGGCCTCGCTTGCCGTTAGATGCCGGAGGCCCCAGGTGCTGACGTCTCCCTCCAGCAGCTCTGACGTCTGAGCCCTGGCGAGCCTCCCGGGATCTCTGTCCCACAGCCCTGCTGCTGGCATGGCCTGCCGGGGGTCTGTGCTTTCCAGCCCACCTGCCAGTTTGGGAGGTGTCCGTGGTTCTCTTCCCCCAGCCCAGCCCGCAGCTCCCTGCCCTGCCGCCCAGTCCGCCTCCCGTCTGCCGGAGGCCTCAGGGAGCCCGGCCTCAGAGGGACTGGCCTCGGTGCTTCTGCCCTGTGCCCAGCATTGGCGAGCTGCTGCCCACCCCTGCCAAGCCCCATCGCCCTGGACACGTCACACAGCCCTGCGCCCCGCCCCTGCTTTGGGGTGCTACTCACGCGCCCGCACATAGGGGCCCAAGAGGGCAGTGCAGACTTGCTCAGTGACCGGGCCCCGGGTGCGACCCGTTGCAGCAGCCCGCCAATGGCCGGCCGGCGGTGTTCCTCCGCCGGCCAGAGCGCTGCCGCTGTCCTTCCCGTGGCTCTGCCAGGCCGCGAGGGGCCATCGTCCTTTGTCCCAGAGGAGTGACTGGTCCTTTCTGGAAACTCATTATTTCTTTGCATCCTCAGTTCTCTGATGGGCTTTAAACCCACCTTCTTTAGCATATCTTACTTTTTTCTCATCGTTAGGGTGAGGGTGACAGTCTGTTGTGACTTTCTGTGTCCTAGATGGATGTAGAAAATTTTGTCCGTCTGCCCTCCAGGAAGACTGTATCAGTTTGCACTCTCATGCAGAGGTTATGCCAAGTCTGGTTACTGCTTTCATTTTAAATCTCCGAAGTTGCAGGGGCACATGAAATAGAAGGTTTTCCTTCAAGTAATTCCAAATGGTTTCAAATGAATATTTCCTGTAATAATCATTTTGAATTGGAATTGTTGGTTGAAAAGATGGGGCTTTTTGTAAAGCAGCTAACAATGTCCATGAAAGTCCGAAAAAAGATTTTAAGACGGAGACGTAAATTAACAAACGGGTCCCTCTGTGACCCTGGGCGCAGGCGGATTTCCGGGCTGGGTGGCAGAGGGAGCGGCGTGTCCCAGCTGACAGGGAGCGCGCAGCTGCTTCTGAGAGCGCGGTGACCGTCAGGAATGGGGAGGGCAGCGTGGCCCCCCGCAATTCTGAGCACTTCCGGAGACTGACATCCCTTCTCCTCCCTCGGGCTCTGTGCCCCGTCCTCTTCTCCCAGGGGAGCCAGGGCAGCTGGCCTCTCCCGGCGGCTTCCTGGCTTCCTCCCAGCATGGAGGCCGGCATGGGCACTGGAAGAGGGTGACCAGGCAGCTGTACTGTCTTGCTACCTTTTCATGGAAATCATGTAGCGTCAAATCTGCGCTGGTCACAGGCCCACCCAGATTCGAGGGGAAGGGACATAAAACCCGCTTCTGGACGGGAGGAGCGTGAGCATGACGGTGTCAGAAAAGCTTGTGTGGTGGGGGACTCGGCCCTCTGGGAGGACGCCCCCTGCCGCGCCCCCGTTCTCTCGCAGCCGCCCCGCCCTGCGCGCCCCGGGGAGGCTCTGGGCCCCCTCCTCTTCCTCAGCGCCCCCTCAGCTCAGCCCTGCTCTTCACCCCGTGGCCGTCTCCGGGCCATGGCCGTCTCCGCGAGCACCTGCCTGAGCGGGCTGTGCTTGCCCAGCCGTCACCCGCTGTCACTTCTGTTCCTCCGCCCGTGACACCAGGGCCGTTCAAGGATGAAGATTGGGTTACGCCCTTCTGTCGATGCCAAGGCCCCTGTGGCAACCACGACCAGCGCGTAAAGCAGGCGTCAGGGCCGCTCCCGGCTGGCTCCTGCCGACCCTTGCCGGCTCACCTCCGGCGGATGCCTGCCCTGCTTGTCCCCTCCTCCTCCCTTTCCTAGGCCAGCTGTCCTCCAGGTTGCAGTTGACATATCCTCTCTTTCCTCTAGGCAGCTTTTCCTGAGACCTTCCACCCTGTCACCCCGCCCTGACCCCTCTCTGCTCCGGGTCTCCAGTGTACCCGTTCTCTCCTCTCCGCCCTCCCGGAGGCCATGGGCCTTGCGAGCAGGAGCCACCCCCAGCCCCTGTCACAGCCCAGGGAGCGAGCGGGGACGTGAGCATCGCTGACAGCGCAGCCCCTGGGCAGGCTGGGCGTGTCCCTGGGGCCTCCATGCCGCGGCTCGCAAGGTTAGGGTTCACGGCAGGTCCCCACCCAGAGTGACTGCGGGACATCGTCTGTTCACCCCCTCCGTCGGGAGGCGCCTTGGGGCATCCTCCAGCTGCCAGGGAGGCCCTCGGGGCCCTCCGGGGGTACAGGTTGGCACTCTGAGATCCTTGTCCGTCCATTGTGTCTGTCACCCCAAGACTAAAGCCATCACTGCCCTCACGCCGGGGGGGTTCAACAGCTTGATGCCACACTGTCCTGTAAGGGAATTACAGCCACCCTCCCCTCCCTCCTGCTAGTGAGTAAGTTTACAAAAGACGAGGCCGTGGTAAAGACATTCAGTCCATGCCCAGAATTATTACATAAGACAGAGCTGCTGACTGACGACGGCTACCAAGCCTTGGCGAACTCATAAGCAGAAGAGATGTGCCAAACTACCGTTCTTCTTAGCCCCCTTTCCCTGGTAGGTGGTGAAATAAAACCACAGGAGTCGGGGCGTCATGCCCCTGACGCTGATTGGTGCCGTGAGTTGGTCTCTTGCTGCTGTGTATACGACCTCCCTGCACCTTGCTTCTGCGGCAGTTTTCACCGCAGGCAGAGGGGAAGGCAGGCCAGTGTTGGGTCATCTCTCCTTCGGTGACTCGGGACCCTGGGACCTAACGCACTGCAGCCGGGACACCACTCCTCCAACGCCCAGGCAGGGCGCCCGTCCACTGCCTGTCAGTGGTGGCCTGTTCCTTTCCCTCCTCGTTTCTGACAGGCAGTGGGCGAGGTTTAAGAATGACATGTTTTTCCCTCAAAATGAACAAGAGGATGAAAACTCAGTATGGTATTTTAAAGAGGGCTTTGAAACGATACTGATTCTTAACTAAGTTTTATTCCAATATCCCTGCTTTTCACTTAGGATGACACATATCCTTTATAGGGAAGATCATCTTTGCCTTGGTTTTTCTAATGTTATTACTGTCATTTTATATTGATCAAATGCCAGAGGTGACAAGGTGACGGCAGATTTGCCATGGCACATCATGCGCCGATCAGCTGCAGAAGCCTGGACACAGTAGACGTGCCAGTTTGGAAGCTGGCTGGTCCCTGCACACAGCACAGCGGCTTCGGAAGCTTAGCTCTGAGCTGCTTAATAAAGAGCTGTTTCTCTTTCACAGCCACGGCTATTGCAAATCCAATACTGTCCTTCTTAGATGTTAAGCGGATTTTATTTCAAAAAATTACCGATAAAGGAGATGAGTTGGTAAAAGCCTTTCAGCTGCTCGATACCAGTCACACCATGACAGTGTCCAAGAGTGAACTGAGAAGAGTTGTCACCACCTTCCTGCTGCCTCTCACGAGAGAACAGTTTCACGAGGTGCTGGCCCAGGTACAGTCCGTGTAGCGACCTAGAGTAACCCCGCTGCGGGAAAGGAAGTGGAGGCCAGGAGCGTGCCACCCAGTCTGACATTCCCCCATGTCCCAAGTGAGCAGTTCAAGTTTTATTTTTCACAATGCACTTAATTAAGCTCTAGCAGATTTGGAATGATTAATATGAACTTCGGTCATATTTCACATGTAGCAACGTTACAGTCAGTTTCTTTTAGTATTTTTGCTAAGACTTCCAATGTATAAAGTATTCAGTTGATTTACATATTGGAGCTTAGTACAGATGCTCCTTGGCCTTATGATGGGGTTTTGTCCTGATAAACCCATTGTGCATGAAAATATCCCACGGTGAAAACGCATCGGACACCCCTGGCCTCCCGGACGCCCGGCCCAGCCCAGCCCAGCCCGGCCCGGCCCAGCCCAGCCCGCCGCAGCGCGCTCAGGGTGATCACGCCAGCCGCCAGCTGGGCAGAGTCCTCTGACACAGTCAAGGGCCAGTCATTTACCCCCGTGATCCCATGGCTGCCTGGGAGCTGCGGCCACTGCCCAGCACCTCCGGAGTATCACTAACCCCAGACGAGCAGAATTTGAGATATAGTTTCTGTTGAATGTGTGTTGCTTTCATACCATCACAAAGTTGAAAAATCATAAATGAAATCACTCTCGGTGGGGCTGTCTATATTTTGGTCTCTGTTCTTGCATCTCATGGTTATTGAGTACTTACTACATGGCCGACCCAGTGCAGAGCAGTCAGACACGGGCCGCCGGCGAGGGGATCCCAGTCCAGGGGGGAGGCCCTGAAAGTGTGGCTACATGTTAGGGCTGGGCAACTACAGGGTCGCGGAGGCGCTAGAGGAGGGAGCACTACCTCCAAATGAGGTGTGGTAGTCCAGGAGGGCTTCTGGGAGGAGGGGAAGCACTCTCTGCATATATAGATACACTTACTTCTACATTTATTTCTGTATCAATTTTATTGAACACCGTGAGGTCACACCAAACCTGCCAATTGTAATTCAGCACCTCAGGGTTCATTCTAGTTTTCCGGCTTTCCATATTTGAACTAACTTTTCCGACAAGAAACTTGGCTTCTATTATTCTTAGTATTTTTACTTATTTGATCAGTCTCCCTGACATGTGACTCGTGTCCAGTCTCCAGCTCTTGCTCCCCACTCGGACAACCACAGCCCGTCCAGCAATGCCGACCCCACGGCTTTGGGCCCTGCCATGTGACTTTGGGACGGAACCATTAGGGGATAAACAGGGGAGAAGGGAAGGGGGAAGGAGGGGAAGAGCTTTTTTCTTTAAAAAAAGTTTCCCCTTTATTCACTTCCAAAATTTTTCAAAATAATATTGGCTCTTCTATGTCACTCTTTATGTACATTTTATTTATTTAATTTTTTTCCTGACTATTTTTTGGAATTTATTGGGGTGGCGTTGGTTCATAAAATTAGGTATGTTTCAGGTGTACAATTCTGTAATACATCATCTGTAAAGTAGTGGGATATAAAATGAATATTCAGAAATCAGTTGCATTTTTAAGTATATTTTATTGGTTATGCTATTAACAGTTGTCCCACTTTTTTCTCCTCTTTATCCCTCTCTGCCCTACACCGACCCCCATTCCCCCCGACTTAGTTCATGTCTTCGGCTTCCCCATTTCCTATACTATTCTAAACCTCCCCCTGTCTGTTTTGTGCCTGCCTATTATGCTTCTTATTCCCTGTACCTCTTCCCCCATTCTCCCCCCTTCCCTTCCCCGCTGATAATCCTCTATGTGATCTCCATTTCTATGATTCTGTTTCTATTCTAGTTGCTTGCTTAGTTTTTGTTTTTTAGGTTCAGTTGTTGATAGTTCTGAGTCTGTTATCATTTCACTGTTCCTAGTTTTGATCTTCTTTTTCTTAAATTAGTCCCTTTAACATTTCATACAATAAAGGCTTGGTGGTGATGAACTCCTTTAACTTGACCTTATCTGAGAAGCACTTTATCTGCCCTTTCCAGTCTAAATGATAGCTTTGCTGAATAGAGTAATCTTGGATGTAGGTTCTTGCCTTTCATAACTTAAAATATTTCTTTATAGTCCCTTCTAGCCTGTAAGGCTTATTTTGAGAAATCAGCTAATAGTCTTATAGGAACTCCTTTGTAGGTAACTCTCTCCTGTTCTCTTGCTGCTTTTAAGATTCCTTATGTTTAATCTTGGGTAATTTAATTATGATGTGTCTTGGTGTGTTCCTCCTTGGGTCCAACTTCTTTGGGACTCTGAGCTTTCCGGGCATCGATTTCCTTCGCCAGATTTGGGAAGTTCTGCTTTATTATTCTTTGAAATAAGTTTTCATTTTCTTGCTCTTCCTCTTCTTCTGGCACCCCTATGATTTGGATGTTGGAACGTTTAAAGGGGTCCTGGAGATTCCTAATCCTCTCCTCATTTTTTTGAATTCTTGTTTCTTCATTCTGTTCTGGTCAAATGTTTATTTCTTTCTTCTGTTCCAAATCTTCTGTTGATTTGAGTTCTGGTTTCCTTCCTTTCATTGTTGGTTCCCTGTATATTTTTCTTTATTTCACTATGTGTAGCCTTCACTTCTTCCTTTATTTTGCAGCCATACTCAGTCATTTCTGTGAGCAGAGTGTCCTGATTGCCAGTGTTTTGAACTCTGCATCTGATAGGTTGGCAGTCTCCTTGTTGCTTAGTTGTTTTTCTGGAGTTTTGATCTGTTCTTTGTCTTGGCACACTAGTCTAGATCAATATTTCTTAACTCCTTGGTTGTTGGACTTCCATACAGTTCAATTTTCTGCCAGTTCTGGTTGTGTGTTGTTTGTAAATTGGTTGTTTTCCTTCTGGGTATGTGGGGAAGTGAAGCATATCTACCTATGTCCCCATCTTGGCTGGAAGTCTCTCAGTTGCAGTTTTATACACCAATAAGGAACTATCAGGAAAGGAAATTAAAGAAAATAATCCCATTTACAGTTGCATCAAAAAACCTAGAAATGAACTTAACCAAGGATGTAAAAGACCTGTACTCAGAAAATTATAAGACACTGAAGTAAGAAATTGAAGAAGATACAAATAAGTGGAAGCATAGACTGTGTTCATGGATAGGAAGAATTAACATTAAAATGTCCATGCTACCCAAAACAATCTATAGATTCAATGCAATTGCTGTCAAGATACCATTGGTGTATTTCAAAGATCTAGAACAAATATTCCAAAAATTTACATAGAAGCACAAAAGACCCTGAATAGCCACAGCAATCTTGAGAAAGAAGAACAAAGTTGGAGGAATCACGCTACCTGACATCAAACTATACTACAAGGCCACTGTAACCAGAACAGCATTGTACTGCCATGAAACCAGACAAATAGATCAATGGAACAGAATAGAGAGCCCAGAAATAAACCCACACATTTATGGTCAATTCATATGTACATACGTTTTAAATAAAAACTTTATTGAGATATAACTTACATTTCACAAAATCCACCATTTAAAAATGTACAATTTAGTGGTTTTTAATATATTCACCGAGTTGTGCAACATCACTACTAATTCCAGAACATTCTCATCACCCCAAAAAGGAACTCCGTATCCATTAGTGGTCACTTCTCACTCGCCTTTCCCCTGTTCCCGACACCACTCATCTGCTCGTTCTCTCAACAGATTTGCTTATTCCAGACATTTCCTATCCATGGAATAATACAATACATGATGTTTTGTGTCTGGCTTCCTTCGTTTAGCACAGAGTTTTCTGGGTTCTTCCATGTTGGCGCATGAATCAGTACTTCACTCTTTTTTATGGCTGAATGATAGTCCAATGTATGAACAGGTAACCTTTTGACTGGACCTTTGGGCTGTTTCCACTTTTTGGCTTTTGTGAACAATGCCGCTGTGAGCATTCACATCCAGGTGTCTGTCTGTGTGGACACATGTTCTTGCTCCTCTTGGGTACGTACCTGGCAGTAGAATTGCTGTGTCACATGGTGATGTTCTTTTACTTTCAGAGAACATTTGTCCTTGCAAACAGTGCATCAGTTTTCTCATAAGCTTGATTTAACTGACACTTTATACCAAATGGAGAATAAAAATATTATTTCCTGTTAATGTCTCCTATATTCATCATCTAATGTTAATTTAAAAATCTGACAGTCTTCCCAAGCTAATCAGCTATGCAGAAAGAGGAAAAGTACAGAAAATGTGAAATGTGTATCTGTTTTTAAGAGCTACATCTGTTTTTAAAAGAAGTCACTGAGAACTGTTGAACTTCAAAGATTTAAAAAAACCCAAAAGATCCCAGTAGTCTACACTAAATGATAAGCATGTTTTTCTAGAACTTTGAGCTCCTGTGAGCTGTGTGTCAGTCGGGGAGTTCGGAGCCTGGTGCAGTGAACAGGAAGCCATGTTCCCTGGGAGTGGCTTTTCTTCCCAGCCCCTGGAGGCCAGAGACTCTGTACTTTCCTGGATCTTTAAAAAAAAAAAAAATTATTTATTCTTAGACAGAAGAGAAGGGAGGGAGAAAGGGGGGAGAAACATCAATGTGCGGTTGCCTGTCGTGCACTCCCACCGGGGACCTGGCCTGCAACCCAGGCATGTGCCCTTATTGGGAATCAAACCGGCGACCCTTTGGTTTGTAGGCTGGCACTCAGTGCACTGAGCCATGTCAGCCAGGTGACTTTTCTAGATCTTTTAATGACAAATCCATGTGGTGATACAAAAATTTTTTTTCAACAGTTAACATAAGCCTAATGGGTAACATATTAAACTGGTAAAGTATTTCATGGGAATTTCCCCCTTAGAATTAGAAAAGAATTTTCCAGTTAGAGTGAATTTACTTGACCTTTAATTTTATTGCAAGAACTATGTCAAGCATGTTCGAATGTCAGGGTGTTTTGATGATTCATGAACCTGTACCTTATTTTCCATTAATAGTAACGTGAATTTTTTTTAATGTGGCCTCAGTCTCTGATTATTACTATAAAAAAATTTAAAAGAAGTTGAATTGGTGAATAGATTATAGAGAAGGAAAACAAAGGTCTGTCTGGCCCCAGTGGTTGTGCCAGGTGGGAAAGAGAAGTCTTTGAAGATACTTAGCAACATGAATATTGATTAAAAACTGCCTCCCACCGGCCCCAGTCTAAGAATTTGCTTTCAGCAAATCACCTGTGGATGACTTTGATTCTTAAACGTTTTTGCTGGAATTATAAATATTGAAATGGACCAGCTTCTCTGGTTGTCTAGGGGGCATAGCTTTGGAAACGGGTCATTGTAGAAGGTACCTGCCACGTTAGAACTTGCGCTAGACCATGAGCAACAGTGCGAAATGGGACAAAGCTTTCGTGGGCTGATGGACTTTCTTTTTCCTGCGGGCAGGATGGCTCGTGCGGTGAGGTGGACTCCAGCTCTGCAGTCACAGAGGTGTCCAGCACTCGCTGGCAGCGCCCTGTCGGGAGGTCACACCTCTGCTCTGGGAAATGCGGACTGTTTCCACACCCTCAGAAGGGGGTGTCCGGGCTTCTCCGTTGACTCTCCTAAAAGGCCCGGCGAGGCACCTGTGCTCGCGGGCGGGCGGGGTATGAGCCCTGCAAGTGCATCTCCCGCTTCCGTTGCTCGCATCCCTCCCACAGCTGGGGCGCCCGGTCTTGGAGATGCGCAGTTCATCTGGTCCTACCCTGTGTCTTCTGTAAGATAAGGGGGACTTTAAAGTGTCTACCTCAGCCCTGGCTGGTGTGGCTCAGTGGACTGAGCACTGGCCTGTGGAACAAAGGGTCATCGATTCAATTCCCAGTCTAGGGCACATGCCTGGGTTGCAGGCCAGGTCCCAAGCAGCGGGGATGCAAAATACAACCGCACATTGATGTTTCTCTCCGTCTCTTTCCCTCTCTAAAAATAAATAAATCAAATCTTTAAAAAAAAAAATCTACCTAAAGTTATATCCACTAAAAAATGCCCTGTCACAAATAGAAGTCATGGGTGTCCTTTCCAGGAAAAAAGTGTCACAAAGGACCCCTCCTCCTCTGGTTCCATCTCCTAGACGCACTTGCGTAGGTAGTAAGGAGAGATGCGTCCCTAGCGGAAGACCGGCATGACCATGCTGGGCTGTGTGGCGGGGATTCTAAGAGCTAAGTCAGTGTCAGACTGGGGTGGGTAGACTTGGGGGCGGCCCAGCAATGTGGGAAGTTGTACTTCGTGTATTTACGTGGACCTTAAAATATATTTATATTGATTATACGTGTATGTTTATCTTAATTTTAGCTTTATAATCCTTTTTGAGGGAAAAACTATTTTCACTTAAGATTTTTTTTTTTTTAATTTGGGAGTTATTTCACACCTCCAAAAATTTGTAAGACTAAGAACAGTACAAATAGAGCTCAGGTGGCCCGAACAATGCCTGGTGCCTGTGTCCTGGCTTTGCAGCTGTGAACTGTAACTCCGTGGCCTGTCCTCTGAGCTGCCGGGGGCGGTGGGGGGGTGGGGGGGTGAGCGTGCGCGCACAGGCAGTGCTGTCCATGAGACGAAGAATGTGGACAGAGTATTTTTTTTCTGAACCATTTGGGAAGAAGTTGCTTGTATTTATGCTTTTTTTACTTCTAAATACTTCAATGATATTTTCTAAGAATAAGAACTGTTCTCTTACATAACCCCAGTACAGTTATCAACTTCAGTAAATTAAACATTGAGAAAATAACTTTAATTTACAGTCATGACACTCTTGACTCAATAATGTTCTTGATAGGATTTTGAACTTAAAAATGACGTTTTTGTATCTTAAAAACATAAATGTACAGAGAGCTTACATGACACTCAGAGGGTAAAATTGTTCTGATCCTCATCCTCTTAGGAAATATATATTTATATATATATAAAACATTTATACGTGTGTAATATTTACTTATATATGTATGTGAAGTGTGTATTAGAATGTATTTTTACTTTACTTTTAGATAGAGCTAGATTTGAGATGATTTTGTAGCTAACTTGTTGACCTAATTGAGCACAGACTGGCAGTCACGTTTGTATTTGGTTTGCTGAGCACACACATCCGCTCAGACCCCTGGATCTGCAGTGTGTTTACTAGAATGTCCACCCGCTGTCGGTAGCCCACCGCCAGCACGAAACCTGCCCTGCCGTCCCCTGCCGGCCTCTGAACTCTCTAACCAGCTGTCATTCTTCCCATCTGAACGTAGATCCCTCTCACCAGCTCTGGTGCTGTTCCCTACCTTGAATTCCTGTCCAGGTTCGGTGGACTTGACCTAAATATAAATGTTATAAAGCGGTAAGTGGTTTTTTGTTGTTGTTGTTCATACGAAAATGTGAAATTGAAAATGATAAAAGATAGGACATAAAGTCATTAGAGCTAATCATGTCGACAGATGTGTATGGAAGACATGTTGGTAGTTTGTCCCTATAGAATATAATGGAGTTAATCCTCAGTCAAAAATTTATTTCAGCTTCCACCACTGGCCCGTGGGAGAGACAGGCTGCTGAGATGAGCGCGGCGTGGGCTGCAGGGAGCCTTCTGGCTGCGAGCGCACAGGATGAGCTAGCGGATTTGCCAAATGACTACCCCCTGAGCCCCACTGAAGACGAGAGGGACAATGATGGAGAACGAAAGCATGAACAGCTTCTGGAAGCCATCAGTTTCCTTGATGGAAAGAAGAGGTGGAAATTGGCTGAGAGATCTGAGGCTAGTCTGAAGGTGTCCGAGTTCACTCTCAGTGCTAAAGGGTCAGGAGAAAGGCTAGTCCTTTCCGATCTGCTGGAGCCCTTTAGAGCTTCACCCTCACTGGCCACTGTGAGAAAGCAACTGAACAGAGTCAGCGCAAAGAAGACTGTGGAGGTACCCTTTACCCAAGAGGAGGCTGAGCGAGCCCACAGAGAAGCGGCATTCCGTGAAGCCTCCCAGGCCCTCTCCAGGTGGGACCCTGTCGTGCTGAAGAACCGACGGGCGGAGCAGCTGGTTTTCCCCCCAAGGAAGGAACAGGCGGCCTTTGCTCCCATGGAACATGTGCTCAGCGGCTGGAAGGCAGGAACTCCCCTGGAGCAGGAAGTTTTCAACCTCCTCCATAAGAACAAACAGCCAGTGAGAGACCCTCTGCTGACTCCTGTGGAGAAGGCCTCTCTCAAAGCCATGAGCCTGGAAGAGGCGAAGAGGCGCCGAGCAGAGCTTCAGAGGGCCCGGGCCCTGCAGGCCTACTACGAGGCCAGGGCTCGAAGAGAGAAGAGAATCAAAAGCAAAAAGCATCACAGAGTTCTGAAGAAAGGAAAGGCCAAGAAAGTTCTAGAAGAGTTTGAAAAGCTGTGGAAGGTCAACCCTACTGCCGCACTGAAAGACCTGGGAAAACTCGAAAAGGCCAGAATGATGGAGCGAATGAGTCTTAAGCACCAGAACAGTGGAAAATGGGCAAAGTCAAAGGCAATTATGGCCAAATACAACATGGAGGCTCGCTGGGCTCTGCAGGAACAGTTGGCCAGGAACAAAGAACTGACACAGAAACTCCACGTGGCCTCCGGAAGTGAGGAAGAGGAAGGAGGTACGGAAGAAGAGGGTGACATCCTTGTCCCTGGTGTGGTGGGTAAGACACAGGTGACAGTAGATGGACCTAACCCCTGGATGGTCAGGAATTGCTCTGGGGCCACAAAAGAGGCTGAAAGCCAGAAGGAGCCCAAACAGTGTCTGGAGCCCAAACAGTGTCCAGAGCCCATGGCCGACGAGGCTCCTGAAAGTGAAGGAGAAGGAAGACCAGTGGCAGAGGAAGTTTTATTGAAAGAATTTGAAGAAAGACTATTGCTCAGGACAAAGTCTGGACTCAACAAGGACGCCAGGCCAGTGGGCAGACAAGAAACAAAAGATTCTAGCAGTCAAGAGGTGCTGTCTGAATCGAGGGCACCATCTCAGAAACTCAGTGTGGACCATCATCCATCCAGGAAGCAAAACATGGGCCCGGTAAAGACAGTTTTGCCCGTCCAGAGAGAAGGCCCCCCCGGGGAAGAAGAGGAGCCCTGGTTGCTGCAGAGGCCAGAGAGAGCAGGGGCTCTGGAAGAGCCAGAGGAGCGGGACGAAGGAGGATGCTTTCAGGACAAGGAGCTTCCCAGGCCTGCGCTGCCAAGGCAGCAGCTGGGGAGGAAGCCGGATGGACGGCCTGGTGCTCCCAAGGGGAAGGAAAGGAAGGAGCTCATGATCGACCTCCAGAGCATCCTCACCACCAGATCTGCTTCCGCGAAGTCCTTAGCTGTCCTCATGACCATGGAGGAGCTGGAAGGTGAACGGGAGAGAGATCACGAACAAATGATAAAGGAAGCTTTTGCTGGGGACGATGTCATCAGAGACTTCTTAAGAGAGAAGAGGGAAGCCGCGGAGGCAAGTAAGCCAACAGACGTGGACTTGACTCTGCCTGGCTGGGGCGAGTGGGGCGGTGTGAGCCTGAAACCCAGTGCCAAGAAGAGACACCGGTTTCTCATTAAAGCCCCTGAGGGTCCACCCAGAAAAGACAAGAACCTGCTGAATGTGATTATCAGTGAGAAGCGAAACATCCATGCAGCAGCTCACCAGGTACGGGAGCTTCCATACCCATTTACCCACCATCAGCAATTTGAAAGGACCATCCAGACCCCGATAGGGTCCACGTGGAACACCCAGAGGGCCTTCCAAAAGCTGACTATGCCCAGGGTCGTCACCACAGCAGGCCATATCATTAAGCCTATAAAAGCAGAGGGCGTGGGCCTCTGGTCTTCCTCAAGGCTGGACCTCTCTGACCTACAGAGGAATCCAAAACGACTCTCCAGACGTCACCGAAAACAGCTGAAGAAAAGCTCCCAGCATTGAGTTGCCCAAGGAGTGACATCCTGGGGCCCAGAACCAGGAGCGCTGACTCGCTCCCGCGTTGGCCCAGCGTTGGCGCGGCTTTGCTCTGACCTCAGTGCCAGTCCACGCTGCCCAGCACGCTGTGGGGGTAGTGAAGCCGCATTTTAGAAATAAAGGCATTTGCATCTGTTAAAAATGTTTAGAAAAGATTCTAACATCTATATAGCATATTTTTCAGAATAATAGAAGTAATACTATATTAAAAAATGGAAACCTAGAAAATTAAAATCAGATTAACATATTATATGCAATGTATTTCAGATTTAGAAATAATTTTAATTTTGTAGTAAAAACATTAACATACCAAATTTAAAGTTTGTTAATTTTTATATAATTTAAGTGTCTTTCAATGGAAGGTGATTATATTTTGGTAGCTAGAAGTTAAATATTTTTAAAAAGATCTTTGAATGGGCTTCTTTGTATTTCATAGCTTTAGCATAAGCCTGGGGCTCATTTGCTTTTTCTGCAAAATGGGAGTGTTAAAGTATGAACTTCAGTTCTGTTTCATCTGTAAAGTTTTTTCATTATAGTGTGTGATTTAGGAAATACTGTTTTAGTAAAAAAAAAATTCAGATTGTCTATTCTAAATGAGTAAGCATCGTTTTCTCAGGAATTGTATCAATTTGGTCCTGAAATAGCAAATTTTGGTATCGATGCGCTCATGACTGACTCCATCGTGGGTGCAGCTGAGCTGGAGGAATTAGTGCAGCAGGAGGCGGGGGGATCGGGGAGCTGTCGTCCAATGGGCATAGCGTTTTGGTTTTGTAAGATAACAAAGTTCTACCGACCTGTTACACAACAATGTGAATTTACTTAATGTTAATAAACTGTACTTTCAAAAATGGTCAAGGTGGTAAATGTTACGTGTTTTTTGTTTGTTCTTTTACCACAGTTAAAAAAGGAAGAATTAGTGTAGTAGATCCAACAAGGCTGACAAAGTAGTGTCTCCTTCATGACCCGGAACTTCTCTGTGCTCTGTTTAGTTAATGCTCAGTAAGTGGGGGACTGAGATAATTTCCAAGGCCATTCAAAAGAGTGATTTATTGTTTTATAGACTGCATATTTATGCTCTTGATCCAAAGCCATCCCCATTAGGGATGATGTTGAGTGGACAGTAACCTAATTTGACTTTTTTTTTTAAAAAAAGGTAAACAACTGAAAGGTAAACACTGAAAACTGGAGAGTTCTTTTTTCTTAAATTATGAAACATCAGCCTAATTAATTTGAAATTAAAAGTTACTCTTTAAATATAAAAGGTTAAACATTTAAACTAAGTTTGAAAGATTTCTGACATAGAAGAGAAGCTGAATTTTCTTTGTTGAAGATGATGCATTACAGTTAATGGAGACTCCTCTTTCTAGTAATATGGTGGGTTATATTCATGAACAGCTCTTTCACTGGAAACAACAAAAATGCTGGATAAAAATGCTGGGATCCAAAGAAGTGAGTATTCTAAAAAGGCAACTATTGCCTTGAGGGTATTGGCCAAAGCCTGGTGAATTTGTGTGTCAGTTTTGTTGTCTCTTTGGAGTAAAGGGGACAAGGGACAAAGCCTAGAGGGTCTGCCCAAGGTGGAGGGACCTAATAGAAGATCAATGCATACATACAAAGTGTGGACACCTGTACCTTCCCTAAGGATAAGTGACAGACATAAACCAGCATCACAGAAGGGCACAACAAGGAAAGCTACCTGTTTTACCACTGGCATTGGGTGAATAGGGGAAAAACTGCAATTACAAGTTGATGTTCATTCAACTCTGTGCCTGAAATAATGCTATCTGTGTGGTCTGAAAAGTCTCAGTCTGGGGATTTACTTACAACTTGGAATGGGTATGCCCTTCTGTTAGAAATACATCTTCAACCTAGCCCTTAAAGAATTTCCACAGATAAAGAAAGTACCAAGTAATGTCAGACCACAAAAGAAAATCTTGAAAACCTATGAAGAGAAACAATGTGGATATAAAACCAGCAGAAATGATAGCCAGGAGAATATTGGAACTATCAGATAGAGAATCTAAAAGTAGTGTTTTAATGCTTAAAAAAATGAAAGAATAGATTCAACATATGGATATGAAAGAAGAGGTAATATAATTTGAAGAAGTACAAAATGAAACTTCTGGTACTGAAAGGTACAATAATGGTAGTTATAGAATTCATTGGATGGGTGAAAATAGTGGATTAAACACAGCTGAAAAGAGCATTAGTGGAGTGGATAATAGATCTGAAGAAATTACCCAGAATGCAGCAAAGACAGAGATACAAAATATGGAGGAGAGAAGTAAGACACATGAAAGATGGGAAGAAAAGGCCCAATATACTTCTTACTGGATTTATAGATATATAAGAGAACGATTAAGACAGACAATATTTGAAAAGATAATGGCTAAGAATGTCAAGCCAGATAATAAAAAGAAATGCCTAGATAATATCACAGTGAAACTACAGAACATTAAAATCACAGTGAAAATATTATATACTTTGAGGAGAAAAAGTGAATTGATTTCAGAGGAGTGACAGACTGGCAGTCCCGCAGTGACAAGGAAAGGTATAAAGGGTGGCAGAAATCTCTCCAGTGTGCTGAAACAAAGCATTTGTCACTTGAGAATTCTGTACCATACAAGGCCCAGCATAAATAATGCCCTTTTTTAATTACAAAATCTTTTTTTAAAATAAAATCATAAGCGTGTAATTCATAACATTAACAATGTCACACTCAAGCACACCGTATGACGTTTTAGGTGAAATGTTCAAATTAAAACTATAAATTATTACACACATGTTGCCCTACCAAGCACACTCAAGCAGGCCTGCCTTCTGCCGGACTCTATTCGTTAGAGCAGGAATGAGCGCTTCTCCTCTGGGAATCCCTGGAACCCTCCCTTCCCATAGCTTTGCCACAGCTATGTCATCCACTGATAAGAGGGTTTTGGAAAAGGGAGAAGTAGCCGGCCCCTCGGCCCATGATGTGGAAGGTTACCTTTCAACTAGATCTTCTGTACTTTCTTCATACTGACTTGTATAAAGTAACAGGCAGCCTTAGCAATCCTTGAATTGGAAGCTCATTAGACCTGGGATGAATCTCAGGACATGAACAGTGCTGCAGTTCAAATTCCCTGAATTTGTGGTGGCGGGACTTACTATTTGTGGTCACAGGTCTTCCCTTTTGGAAATACAGTTTGAGAGGTCCCATTCTGTATCAGCCAACACTCGATGCCCTCACCACATGAGAAAGTTCTGGAATGTCCGAGAGCGTTTGGTTCAGTTGGAAGCAACATGGAGATTGGAGAGGACATTTTCCTTGTTAAAGACCTCTATGACCTGGAACGATATCAAAAAGTCTGTTCCTCTGAGGATAAGGAAGCTGGTAAGGACAAGACGTGGAACTGTTGTTGAATCTAGCAGGGAGGACTTCACATCGTTTATAGTAATGGTAGTATCATCATCAACCCTTCAGAAACATCCAAGGAATCATTCTACTTAAAATGAGTAGATTGAATCTTTTTTCCCCCGATGGATATGTAGGACGTTTCTGCATATGGACTGAATGTCTTCTGCATATCGCATAATCCGAATGGCACTCAGCACAAAGCTACCTTCCTGAAGGACAGCTGCAATAGTCAATGTGCAGAGCAATCACAGCATCTTAGGGGAAGTGTCTAAAAGCTTTCTGAGCACCACACAAGCAGATTCACACCAGAGGTCTGAAGAAGGACTTACTAAAGAGCCTGAGAATCACAGCGAAGCTTGCTCACAAAGGCCAGGTAGCGGCTGTTAGGGCTTTAGTTGGCAGAGCAGGTGAGAGGCTGATTCTAGCAGGTAGACGGTGGTAAAGAAAATGGGGAGAAAGAAGGCTCTGGGCCCTGAGAAGTGGGGTTTGGGAGGAAAAAGATCATGTGCTACCAAGAAACAAGCAGCTCAAGAAACTCCAGAAGGAGATGGATACAAAAGAAGCCTCTGCGCAATGCCTTGAATTTGTATACCTAAAGGTCACTTCAATTTGGACAGCTTATTGGGATTTCTGAAGATTAAAGACAAGGTAAAATCAGTGGGAAACATTAAAAAAATGAAGACTGAGGGTAAAATGAAAACATTTTTAGACAAAAAAGCTGTTTATCTCCTGCATAGCTAAAGGCAGAAGAAATGCGATCGAGGGCAGCCCTCTGTGATCAGACCCCCAGCAGGTGGGGACTCTCGCTGCTCTCCTCTGTCCCCTGTGCTCCAAACCCAAGGCTGCCTTGGTGTTACTGTGTGCGGGCCTTTGACAAGTTGTCCCCCCTGCTTGCAGAGCTTCCCCCGTAGGCCACTGCCCACACCCTTGGGTTAATACTCCATGTGATGTCTGTCCAGAATGTGAGCTCCATGAGGGCAGGGACTTTTACCGGTTCTGTTGTTTGGTATATCCCAAGCCTCTAGGGCAGTGTTTGGCACATAGTAGGCGCTTACTACATAATTATTGACGAAATGGATGGAAAAACTGCAATGAAAACCAGCAAACAAACAACACCCATAGGCAGCAACCTGAATGAATCTCATGGACATAATAAATGAGGCATAATATTGAATGAAGGAACAAGAAACAAACATGACATTCAAAAAAGATGTTGAACTGTTTTTTTTTTTTTAGGGACACAGACCTAGGTGGTAAAATTTTAACCAAATAAAAGGAAATGGCATCTTCAACACTAGGAGAGCAGTTACTACCAGGAGGTAGGAAACATTATGATTGGAGAATGGCAGATGGGGGGCTTTTTGTATTTGGCTTTGATTCTTGATTTGGGTAATTGTTAAACAGGCATTTGCTTTAATTATAATTAAACTATGCATATGTGTTGTGTGTACTTTTCTGCAAATGGGTTTATTTCATAATAACAAATTAAAGCTCAAGGAATTTAATTAGCAGATTAGACACAGCTGAAGAAATAGGTGACCTGAGAGATCGGTCAAAAAAAATTAGCCAGAAAGCAGCACAGCGACGTAGATGTACTAGGAATTCTGTGAAGAGAGGGTGAGGGATAGGGTGGGGACAATACCCAAAGAAACAGTGGCTGAGAAATTTCCAGAACTGATGAAAGGTACTACCCTGCAGATTCAAGAAGCCAAATCTCAAGCAGGATTAAAAACAGGAGTAGTAACGGAAACTCAAAGACAAAGCCACACGTCGGCATTTAGACAGAAGTGACTTCCGAGCAGTAACAATGGAGACCAGGAGAGAATGGATTAATCACTGCTATGTGTTGAAAGAAAATCGCTGCCATTCTAGAACTGTGTAGCTAATGAAAGTGTGTTTCAGCTTTTCCAATGCTGAAATGAAGACACTCTCAAACAAAGGTGGGTCCAGCCCCCAACAGACCCAGTAAAGCAGTTCTCAGGTTGAGTTTCCCATAGAAGGAACTGATCCCAGACAGAAGGTTGGAGGTGAGGGGAGAGGGAAGGAAGAGCAGAGACGGCAGCAGATGCGTGGTGAACTCAGCGTCTACTGATGACAGGAAACACAATTGTAGGAAATAACGATGGCTTTTGGAATTTAAAAATAGAATTGGATTGAAATACAGGATAGTGGTAGTATTACAGTTGAGAGGAGGGACTGGAATTCAATGCTCTAGAGTTGTTACATTGTCCAGGAGGAAGATACAAGTTTGATTCGCTTAGACTCTGAAAAGTATGCAGGTTGTACTTTACAGAGCAACTCTTACAAGATTAAAAACTGAGAAACTCACAGACTTACAGAGGCAAAGCAATAGAATGGTAAAAATGGGATCAACCAGCCCAAAAGAAGGCAAGAAGGCACAGAAGGAGCAGGACAAACGGGAAACCTAAATATATCAGTATCTATGATAAATGTTCCACTTTTAAAGCAAAGGTTGACTAGATAACAAACAGTACAATTTGCTAAGGGGAACACCAGGACATGTTTATAGAATGGTTAAAACGAAAAGGTTTAAAAAAAAACAACAAACCATTCCAATGAATACCAAAGAAAGCTGACGTCACAGCGTAACATTGGACAGTGGACTGGGCTCTCTGGAAACAGACACTGAGACGGCATTTGGGCTGCACCGTGTGGGCCAGGAAAGACACCGTGAAGAGAAGGGGCAGAGCAGGGCCGGCAAGGTGAGTCGAGCCCCCTGTGATGCAGCTGACAGGCCTGGCCCCGCTGCGGGGAGGGGCGCGGGGCGGGGGTGGGGGGAGAGCCTGCCGGGCTCGGCACAGGCCCTGCGGCGTTTCTTCAGCTGATTTGAATGCGTACACAGGCTTTTGTCTGATTTTTATCCTTTGTGTCCTAAACACGTTACAGATAGTGTTTTCAATTTAACACATAATTAAAACTATTAAAATATGACATTTAACAGAATGGTAGGACTGGATTCTCGGCAAGGTGCCATCTTTAATCTGGGCACCGCTGGGCCTGCTTCCTCCTAGGCACAAGGAGGTCAACCTCTGCCTGAAATGCCCCGAAGGTGGCCCCCACCCTCGCGCGAAGCCCAGATTCCTCACCACGGCCCCCAGCACCACGAGCTGGCGCCTGCCCCAGCTCCAAGTGCACCGTGCCCTCTGCCTGCCCCGCTGGGCTGCACACTGCGCCGTGTTGCCTTTGCTTTGCGGCAGAGCTTCTGCCATGGACGGCTCCTGGCTCCTCAGCTCGTGGGTCCTGCTGTCCCCACATCAAGAAGAGCTGTTCTGCCTTCCGCTCATCTTCCATCCAGCACCGCGATTTCCTTCCCAGCACCTACTGTCACTGCAACACCTGTCTCTCGTTTGCTTATTTCCTGTCCATCGCTGTCACCAGCACCAAGCGTGTTTGAGACTGGGAACAGTGTCCCGGGCACCACGGCAGCCCAGGCCTGGGCGTAGGTGGCTGGATAAGTGGTGTGACCTGGAGGACCAGTGTGCCCCTCTTGTTCCGCAGGCCATGCCAGCCCTCTCAGTACGTCCCAAAGAGTGGCTCTCTGGTGATCTCTGCAAAACTGGGTCGTGGTTAGTGCCGGCTCAAAAGCAGTTAATAAAAAAACAACAGAGCCAGGAGTGGCGCAGACACCCATCTGCCATAAAGTCACTTACGAGTGGCTGGGGTGCCCAACTGCGTGAACGGGGACCGCGAGGTCAGGACACAGTGCAGCGGCAGAAGGGGTAGGGGTGGGCTCAGAAGCCAGGCCGCCTGGGCCTGCGCCTGGCGCCACCTCTTCCTCACGGGCAACCGCAGACTCCTCTGTCTCCTCCACACACGGGGATGAAGACAGCCCCTGCCCAACAGGGTTGTCAGGAGGATGGAATGAGGTGGGCGTGGCTACAGGAAGTGCGTGCTGCGTGTGGGCGCTGCTTACTCCAGGCCCCTCACCCCTCGGAGGAGTAAATGCCACGGGCCGGAACCCGAGGCGGGGAAGAAGCTAAGTAATTAGCCCACGGTCAGACCTCTGGCCGATGGTAACGCATAAGAAATATCTCACATTTAAAAATATATTCTTTAGAAATCCTAATCATTTGGATCTCTGAATGTCCTGCATAAACATTTATTTACTTGGTTCAAACATTTTAATATGTTTTCATTTTTGTTTTTAAGGGGCAGTGGAAATGAAATGAATGGCTCTCGGACCTTGAAAGAACTTGAAATCCAAGTAGGAGAAAAGGTAATAGAGATCTTTTAAAATCCTCCCCCGCCCTTTGTCAGAAGTCATTGTTAGCAGAGGTAGACGGTGCAACAGGAGCCACGTCTTGTCTGTGTTCTCTTGTCAAAGTGGCCTGGCTAAATAGATCTCATAACAAGCCCGCGTGCTCACGCGCTGACCGCTCCCTGCGTGGCAGCTCGCCGACCAAGGACACCGCCAGAAGGCCCGAATAATGAGCCCTTTGTATTAACTTTCGATCATTATCAGGAGGGCAGCCCTTTCTGTTTTCATCTAACACTGAAGCAAGGTTTTCTGTAAAAAGAGAAAACAACCACTTTTCAGCAACAAATACCAATCAAGTGTAGCAGGTGAAAATACCCAGGCAAACTCACAGTGGCCTGTATTGAAGGGTCAAGTCATTTAGCCACTAGGGCTGCGACGCGGGGTTAGGAAAGGAGCATATAGCTTTCGCTCCTGGATGCTGATTATGGTTGGATGTCACAGTGCGTACAGCTCGGGAGAGGTGGGGGGGACACGTTCGTGGCATTCTGGGGTTGGAATCAGACCTCGTTTTAAAATGCATTTGAACCTGTCACTTCCATGAGCAGTTTGAGAATCATGGCTTAATTTATTTGATGCAATATGTTAGTTTGAAATGTGACACATTTTCTTTCCTTTCTGAACTCTTCTGAGATTTTCATACATTTGAAAATCAAAAATAGCCAGAAATCCACAAAATATTTGTCTAAATTCTCCCGGTTGACGCTGTGAACATGAGGGCATTCATGATTAAGCATCATGTGCTCCTAGAAACCCCGTTCGCCATAGTTGACATTGGCAGGAGCCTGCTGTATTTGCTTCCTCTACTGTGGTCAGTTGTTATTCTGTAAGAAATACCTACTCTGATGGGTATTCTTGATGGTATACACCTCTTGTCTTCTCATAAATGATGTTAATCAGGAAATTCTCTCAGGAAAGTCAACTGTCCATGGCAGGCCTATCAACATAAATCCCGTTATGGGTGAGCAGTGCAGCACAGCGGTTAGTGCGGGGCGTCCGGACGGACGGCGGGGTTGTTCCGGACTGAAAGAGCAGGGAGGCGGGGAGGGGCTGCCCGCGCTCGCTGACCGCTCGCCGACCGCTCGCCTCGTCCTTCTTTCCCCAGCCCCCGCTCTAACCCCGTCCATGGGGGACGCCCTCCTGTGGGTTGAGTGTCAGTTTAAAACCAGTGCAGCTTTTTTGCTCAACTTCTGGTGAGAACAAAAAGGTGACAGTGAAAGGCGGAGGAACAAGGGATTGAGGTCACCCTGCGTCCCCGGGCAGGGATTTCTCGGTCACGCATTCTGGCCAGTGGGGACTGCGGCCCGATCCTCCCCAAGCCCCCACCCTGGACAGGTGGGTGCAGTGGGACCAGACTGACCTGGGGTCCCTGTCAGACCCGGGTTCCTGCCTTAGGCTCTGCCACCTTCCAGCCAGGTGGCCTTGGGCACGTCCTTGTCATTGGCTTTCTTCATCTGTTAGAGGGGGTAATAATGCCCACCTGGACATGTGGCTTGAAAATGTCCAGTAGCAAAGCTGCCCTGGAATATCCTGGAATGTCCTGGAAAGCTCGGGCGACGCAGCTATCATTGTGATGATTACTGCAGCTTCCTTGGACATCCAGGAGTCTTCTCCCCTCCCACCAACCCGAAAAGGAACAGGCAAACCGAGCACACTCCCCAACCGTGTGCTGTGTGCAGCGTGCAGCGGCGCACTTCCAAGTTCCACGCAAGCCCCGCGAACGGCCCAGGCGAGGGTGCAGAGCCGAGAGGAGTGCCGCCGCTGGGTGACGGCCGCGGTCCAGGGCTGGAAGAGCGCTAAGAGCTTTGTTTAAGTGGAAGTCCCCGTGGCTCGCTGGAGCCGAGGATGCGCACTGAAGCCCCCGGTGGTGGGACCCAGCCTTCGTCCAGTGCTGGTGTGGTCTAGCTTTTCTAACCCAACAAAGAATTGGCAGCTGGCACCCCAAACCGAGCGAACCCCAGTGCTTGTTTTTCCCAATTGCTTTCTTGGGCAGCGGGCTCGACCCAGCAGCCGGGTCCTCAGCCTCCCTCTTCCGGTGCATGTAGGCCCTCCGACACATGCTCACGGTCACGCTCGCTGCCCACCGACCCCGCAGCTCTCTGAGCCTGGTCGTGTCCCTCCATCCAGCGCAGGGCAGGCCCTCTCCGGACCCCGCTGCTCCCGGCTGCATAAGAAGGGGCTGCTGCATGACCCCCTGGGGCCCTGGATTTGCGGGGAGAGGAAGCTCTGGATGCCCATGGGGTGCTCAGGGCGTTGTGCCTAGGCTCCGGCCGGCCCTGGCCCCGGCCCACCTGCACACAGGTTCTCCTCCGCAGCTCTCAGTCCTGCGCGTACTTCACGTGCCCTCGCCCCCTTGGCCTCAGCGTTTTACTTGGTCACAAACATGATTGTGCTTTCTCTCCTTTGGCTCCTCCTCTGTGCCTTTGGCTGAGCGTCTCCCAGAGTGGCACTTGAGGTCTCTGTCCTCAGGTCCTTTGCTTTCATCATCTTGGAGGAGGCAGAAGGATTCGGCGGGAACCAGCACAGCGGCCTGAAGTCCAGGCTCTGCCGATTCCTCCATACAGGGCCCTGGGCAGGCCTCTCCTGCACTGTACCGGCTTCCTTTATCTCTAGCGTGGAGGCGACAAACCCCCACCAGGGCAGCTGTAAGAATGAGCGGGAATCAGTGCTAGCCCCCCGGATGCTGGTTCTCGGCAGGCTCCGAAGCCGCTCCTGCGGTAGGCTTCGCCTGCCACCAGCTGGCTCCCCCTCAGCCTCCCTCCGAGGGGTTGGGTTGTTCCAGCCTGTGTGACACAGAAAACTCCAGCTGAACTAGCCGAGGCCACACAAATGTCTCATCCCATCCAGGAGGAAGTCAGGAGGGTGTGTGGGCCCAGAGTCTCGACCTCGCGTCTCCCCTGGTCATGAGGAGGTGGCCAGCCAGGCTGGACCTGCATATTCTGCAACATCAAGTTTTGTGCAGCATGGTGTGCCCTCCCAATGTGTCTCTTTATAAACACGGGGAAGCTTCTCATTACTCAGAGCCCGGAATTATGCCCCATAGCCAAACCAACCTCTGGCAATGGCATTGGTCGCCCTGGTGTGGCAGCTGGGCTCCCTCCCCAAAACACGTGGCCCCCAGAGGTAGATACCTGAACAGAACAGAAACTGGAGGGTCAAGGTGAACGGATCTGGGGAAGGCAACCACCAACGTCTGCTTCGGCCACCCAATAAAAGGCTCTTGCTGGGCCTGCTGGGCCTCCGCCCTTTGGACAGGAAGGTGATTTTGGATTTTCCCAGCTCTAGTAACCATAACAGTTTGCGCCGACTGAGTGCTTCATAGGAGCAGAGCAGCCCTAGGAGAAGCTATTTAGCTCCCAGGAGAAGCCCGCGAGACTTGTGCCGTTGTCACCCACACTGATCTGAGGGGAACCTGAACAGAGGCCTAGCAGCTCGCCCAGGGGCACAAGGCTGCGGCGGCGGCCCTGGCAGCTGGGCTCCCGAGTCCTCGCCCTGAGCGCTGGCGGCCCTGACTCTTGGAAGGACGGTCACGTGCAGTCACAGCGTGCAACTGTGTGCTCTGCCTGTGGGTGAGATGGCAATGTCTCTCCGCCACCATCGTACACATGCGGGGAGGCCTTTGTTCCAGCCGCATGGCCGTCTTTTCATCACATAGCACCGGCTTCCACAGGCCTTCGGGAGGCTCCCTGCCTCTGCCTCCGGCATCCTGCCCTCCCCTTCTCCCTAGCTCCCCAGTCTCCTGCGTGCCCTACGGTCCCTGCCTACTCTGAGGGCCCAGCTTCAGCCGGGGGCGGCGGCAGGGCCCAAGGCCCAAGACTTGGGTCTTCACCTTCTTCAGGATCAAAAGGACTGAAGCTGAGCTTCCGTGTGTCGCCAGGCTAACCAACGTTTGCCCCTTTTACTTTGTCTTTGGCTAACTCCCCACGCGAGAGTTAGGTGGCAGTAAAGGAAGAGACCAAGGAAGGAGGTCTCATCTGGCCGCCTGCAGTGGGTGCATGCTCCCTGGAACCGCATCCGGGAACTCGGAGAGACAGGGCGCTTCTCTGACCCACCTAAGAACCAGAGGACATTTAGAAATATCGTGACGCTTCCCTTCCCCCCACGTACAGAAAAAATGTTCCTAAGTGAAGACTAGAATCCAAGAATGTATAATTCAGTTAAAGACATAAAAAAGAAAGACTAAATAAACATATCCCAAGCCCCAGGCTGTTTGCTCCTGTAGCACGTCACCACACAAGTAAGGGATGCTGCTTCCAGCCTGGGCGCCGTGATGTCAGAACATCTGGTCTACTCAGCCAGCCGTGACTAGTGTGGCTGTCGGACACCTAGCGATCTAGCGCAAGTTTTTATGGCATTGCCCTGGTGCCTCGCGGTTCTGTAGATGCAGCCTTAGTCATTCCAGCAGCAATTAGTAGATGATGAGAGATACTAAGCTGCTTCGTTGGTATGTAATATCCACATGAAGACAAGACAAAAGTGATGGGTAGATTCATTTTCTTAAATAGATGAATTTTCCTAAAAAAGAAATTTAAAAAATTATGGCTTGAGGAACAAAGAAACAGTTGCAAGAATCACAACCATTTTATAAACATACCTCAGCATTGTAACACCGCATTAGCACGGACGAATGTACCAAAATGCAGTCTGTTTGCCTAATAAAAAGACTGTGTCAGGCCCAGAATGAGGCCATTTACTGAAACATGCAAGCTTTTGGTTAATTTGCAATATTTTCCTAATCCCACTTTTATCAGCTCTGCCTTGGTGCTCGAGGTATTAATTGCCTCTTATAGCAGGTATTTGAACACATCTCCTCTTTCGTCTGAAGGAAATATTAGCATATCGCAGAGCTGTTGGGACAGATTGCTTCGGAGGCACTTTTTCCTCCCCACCGAAAAGCCTATCAATCATAACTGAATATAGTGATTAATAATGTCACAGCTCTTTCTCGCGTGTCTGCCTGC